CAATTATCAATGTAAATTTAGTTGGCTTTTACTCATCCAGCAAATCTCCAATTTTTAAATTCCTTTGAAACTGCTAATTAAAATACATTTTCTTGCTTTTTGTAATGATGAGAAGCGTGCCATGCCATTCTAAAATATAAAAAGTTCTCAAGTAAGCAGAATTGAAAATGGGAAAAAGTTTAATTTGTCAAATGCCGGATAGTTGATTGGGACTGGTGGGAAAATTTCATATTCAGGTTTCTTTAAAATCTTCATCTTTTCCCAACAGTATTCTATTTTTTTTCTTCTCATTAACTAGCATTCTTCTAATTTGATTCAAAATAATGGTGACATCGACTTCATTTATATTTTATAAACAATATCTGTTTAGGCATTTCGTAAAACTTTCAAGGAACAGAAGAACAGATCTTATTCTTTCGCCTTAATGTCCAATCAAGAAAATGAAAATTTAATCAATTCTGCTAAACTCAATTTCTCTTAAATTCTTCTACTTTTTTTTCTTTTACATAATACGCAATTTTATTTTAAAATGCTTTAACATATCTTGTTCTAATTCAATTTCAAAATGAAAAAATGATTAACCATTTCAAAGATGCCAATTCATATGATCAAAAGATTATTATTCGTTGAACTTATTTTGTTAAATTGTGTACAGTTGAAATTGTTCAATATTAGGCTATTTTCAAGCTTCAAAACTATCTTCTCTGTTATGTAAGATATCTTCCTCCAACTTTATTACCATAAAATTTTCACCGATTACTCCGAACGAATTGTTCACACAAAAAAATATTTTTTTACTATGATTTTAAGTCTTATTTCCAAATTTAGCTCCAAAATAAGGTCTATTGATTTGCATGAATACAAGAATCCAACTTTATCATCTTATTTTTAATCTAGTAAATGAGTGATTTTTTTAAGGCAAATTAGATAAAATAACTCACTGAATGTTCTTCGAAATGTAAAACATCATATTTGATGATGAACTTGTGTTGATGACAACAATGACCAGTCTTCTTTATTACCACTACTACTATTCACTACCACTATCAACCTCGTTTCATCTCTTCCTCCACTTATCGTCTTTCTCCCCTCATTGTAAGATCATCAATAATGATAATGAAATTGTGCTGTGCTGATAAATGTCATTTTGCGCCCATTTGCCAGCATTATAAATCGTTAAGAGAGAATTACTTAGTTTTCCTAACAATCTTTCCGGTTCTAACAATATATTCGTTAATTGCTGCATAAAAATTGACATATGACTCGGTACGTGAAGAATCCTTTATTTTGCGTAAATAAATTTAAATTTGGATAATTTATCTTTAAATAATTTTTTCGTTGCCTACAACTTAATTGCAAAATATGGCGCCTTCCAATTGATGCCAATATAAAATTTAATCAGTTAAAGAAAACGCAGTCGTTTAGAGAGGAAAAAAAAAACATTTTTGAGCTTTCTTATACATATTAAATAGTTTAATAAAACAGTTCATGCCTATCAGAAATGTTCAAGAAAGAATGAAATACTTTGAAAATTTTTTTCAGTGAGGAAAGCAGCCTATCAGCAACATCCGTAAGCTTTATATTAACTTGCTGCCAAAGAAGTTTTAGAAACATCGTTCTTCTCACTCGTGAATATTGACGTCCATATTGATCCTTGAGAAAATTCACATATCATTTTAGTTTTTGTGTACTTTGCAAAAGAGTTCACATTTTATTTCACTCTTTTTGAGGCGGTTTTTTGTGAAGAATTATTTCCAAATGTCGCTAAATTTTTCCTCCTAAAATTATTTTATTGAATGGTGCATTTTTGATGGAGTTGATTTTATTTTGCTTAAATTTACTTTTTAATTTTCTTAAAATTTGATGCTTTTCTTCCTGTTTAACATTCACCAAATTATCTCTATCTATTTGTTTTTGAAAAACTTTCATACTGATTTTTAAATTTCACCATTCATTAATTTATTTCCAAATTGTTAAGATTATTGGGATTTTATTTTTAATGTAAAAATATCGATTTTAATCTTTCTCTTCCCAAGTTTAAATCAAAATTCAATTCAATATTGTAATTCAAGTTTGAATAAATAAGCACTATTACGTTGTAAATTTACTGTATCGTGCTTCCATCAGATGGATAATAGAAGTGTTGTTGATCTTTTATCTACTTGATCATCTTGTTTGAAGCAGCAGTTTGACACATTCTCGAATCATTCTCGTTTAGTTAATTTTCCTTTTTCATCCATCAACCTACAGTATTTTTTTCTATTCATTTGCTAATTTATATACAACTCTCCTCTCATCTTTCTTGACATACTTTGCTGATATTTATTGATAGCTTTGACCATTTTATCGTTATAAATTATACTTTTGTAAAAATATCATTCTTCGTCTTTTCGAGATTGGTAAGGTAATAATGCTTCTTCACAAAGCTAGACAATTGATTGCTGAGCTGATAATTGTGATAAAAAAAGCTATGTGCTATGTGCGATGTCTTCTTAGCTATATTGCGATATTTTAGAATTTTTCTTAGTAAACTTTTCATTCCAAATTTTACTACAGATTAATAAATTATTTTTAGTTGTCTAAGCAGTCGTAAGTGACATGTCACAGAATATGTCATAATAATAGTGATAATTTAGTAATGACATCAATTTGAGTTCAAAAAGAGCATACCCAATAACTGTCCCATAATAGAAATGTTAAATATTCACAATTCCAAGCGTTTATTTAAAATAACAATCGACATTTTTCTTAAGTGCTTCATAATAATTTTTTCTTTCACATTTCAAATTTTTTTTATGTTACTGTTCTATTAAATTTGATCAAAATCCTCAAAAAAAGGACCAAATGGCATGAACAGATGTGAAGCGCCATTAGATTTCTATTTCTTTCATTTCATTGACTGTATAATTATTGCAAAATTTTTATATAAAGCCATAATCCGATATTTTCTATCTCTTATTTGCTCCAAAAAAAGAGAATTTGCATCAATTTTTGAAATAATTGCAAAATTTCAGAAAATCTAATATTTTAATAAAATTCACAGTATTGCAACTTCTAAAATATTGATTACTTTTGAGCTAATGTATTTACCTATTTTTCAGAGTGAAATGAATAATTTCTTGTTTTTTTTTCAAAATATATCAATTATTAGTGACACTAAATATCCGAATAATTCCAGGTTCAGAATGATGTATCGATAATAAGAAATGCCTGTTATGCAAAATGAGCACCACCAGTACTCTAATCCTGTCCCAATTTATTTCCATTCTATTCCTGTTTCACATTAACGCAGGTTTGATTTAACTTTAAAATTTATTGCACAATTTCGTATTATTATCCGTCTTGATTTCATGAACTTCAAGTCTGAAGGAGATTAAATACATAAAATAAATTGCAAAATGAAGATTAATTCGAGCACATTGCATTTGAATTTAAATTGTTTTGTTGGCAATTATTTTTAAATAATGCTGCCCAGTACTCTTCACGTGTTATCAGGCTTAAAACCAATTTCTTGGTTCCGTTTTGCTAAGTAGTTATTCATCATGAAGAAAAAAATTTAAGGTAACATTCAGTACTAATAAAGGATGAGAAAAAACTTTTTACATTCAATTTGCACTTGAAAATAATATAGTAGTAAGTGATTTGATGATGAAATAATTTTCATCATCAAATCACTTACTACTATATTATTTTTTATCACAAACTTTCCGAATTTTATTATCACAAACTTTCCGAATTTTACCGAATTAGATTTAATGAAACTTGGAGAGTTTCTTTGAGATTTTCCAAACTTCGCGTCTTTTATCAGTCTTTTAACGAAAGAGACGCAATTCGCTTGTTTGCAAACTAATATCTTGGCAGTTCATCTTTTTAAAAAATTTTTAAATTTCACTTCTATAAATGAGAGAACATCATTTAACGATTCTTTTCGGTAAGAAAGCTAAGTAACTCATTGATTCAGATGGTAGTTTCTTATTTTTCTTTGTTTCAGATAAATTATTTCCATGAATGAAATAAAATTTTGTATGTGTGTGTATATGTGGTGTCTTCTTAATTTGTTTTTTATAGCTATATTTTAATTTTTTTTTGTGTAGTTATATTTTGTTTGATAAACAGGGAAAGAAATTAGCAAATTTCGATTCAATTTGCTTTAACAAGAAGCTGCAAGAAGTCTTTTTCTTTAGTTGTTAAATTTCATAAAATTTTTGATTTGCAATGCAGGTAATGCTCGGCTATTGAAAACGGAAACGAAGGAAATCAAGCGAAGAGTGATTAACGAAATGCTAATACCAAGGTATGTATATAAATTTTAGATTGTTGTACTTCTGCATACCCATAAAATTTTGCAATAATCCTTTTGTCTTTCAAAAATTCCTAGTGTTTTAATTTTTTTTAAATGCTACAAGCAATTATCTTTCAATAGTGACATCTTAATTTGAAACTTTGATTACCTAAGACATTTAAATTAGAAAATTATATAATGTGTTTCCGATGTCAGTAAATTTCTGGAAAAATAAAAAGAAACAAATATCTGTAAACTCAGTAGATCTCGCAGTCTTTTTGCTATTCACTTTCCAATCTACTTAATAGATCGTTAGCAAACTAAGTCCACAGTTTCATAAATTTTAAGTCTGCAGAAAACATCAGTACCAAACAAGAAACACTGTCTTTTTTTAGAGGAAAAACAGGAAAACTTAAAATATGGGAAGGACTTTGAAAACTTTCAAATTCATGCAGAAATAATTTTTCCAAATATTGTCGTTTCTCTTTTTTCTTTTGATGAAATGATTGAGATACAGTGACAGAGCATAGTACACAAATAACAATGCGAGCATACTGTGATAGGGGTTTAAAATCGGTGGAAATGGTTCTGAATCTCTTAGATGATCTAAAAATATTTGGAACAATATAAATCAGTTGATCAGATTTTCGTTTTTAACTTTTCATCAGATTAGATTATATCATTTGAAGCCTATATGATAAGATAAACCTTTGAAATTATGCGCGAACATAAATACAGATATTCAACAACAGCACTGATGTGTGAACCGGTATTTACTGGTACCAACAGCCGAGCACAATGGTACCACAACGGCATAGTTGTTGCGAATGTTTCGAGGTAACTGTTTCAAAGTCGTACAAAAAAATAAATTGCAGTAAAAATTTTAAATTTTTGGGTTTTTTTAAAAGATCTTTGTTACTTTTCGGCAAGACTAAGTTCCTACCAACTTTCTAACTTCAGCAAAAATAGTGAATTTACAACTATAAAATAACTTCAGTTCCTCCTCTTCCTAAATATTAGACAGTTAATAGACTTTGGTTTCTATGTTTGTAAACAGTTTAAATCATATGCCGTTTACCTGATTACTTCAGTTCAACACAAGTTTGTGCATATTTCTAAACTTTTGAAGAAATGTTGCTCATGAATTCCTTCATACTTTTTACATCAGTATTTTTTGCTTGATGAAATTTTTATGAAATATGCTAAATTTGAAAAACAAAAGATCATAATAGTTATTCGTATTTCGAAGTTTTGCATTTGTTCACTCCACAACAGAACTTCTTTCCTATAATCTGTTGTAAGTTGTATTTTTTTTCCATTTAAAGCACTTTATAACTTGCAGTATTTCAAATGCAGTGTTACACGATTATACATATTATACCGAACAAGCCATTCCAGATGTTGGCTTTCTTATTATTACAAATATATCTGTCGGTAAGTTAGCCTTTTACATTTCTCAGCCCATTCATTATTTTCGAATTTTTGACGGAATATCAAAATTTGCATTTTGAAAATCATTTCCGATTTCTCCGAAGTGTTTGATAGAACTGAATTTTCTAAAGTTAAAGAAATTTTTTGTTTATTTGAGAGGATGAAGGCGACTATTGGTGTCGTCGAATGGATAATAAACAGGAAGGTGAAGTGGCTCGAATTGTCGTTGCCTATGTGGAGCCGTTTCCAAGTAATTCTCGACCAACATTTCATCCAACTCTAGCACACTTTGGACAGCACGTAACCGCTCATTGTCCAAGAACTAAAGCTGTTCCACCACCAACCTATGCTTGGTTCTTGGTACATTCATGCTCATTTTACTATAACCTTTCTATGAAGTGTTTTGGAATGAATTATTCGTGTTTCCATTAGTAACTTAAATTTTCTGTCTTATATTCAGCTTTTTTATTTTCCATCTATAAAATTCTAGAATGGAGAAGCAGTTGATTTGTCAACCAAACGAATTATCCAAAATTCAAATGGTTCACTTCAAATTCAACAATTTTTGCGTCAAGATATTGGTGTTTATGAATGTATTGTAAAAAATTTTGCAGGCCGTACAAGTTCTAAGGCCTACCTTGATGCCATTCCGTTTGCGTCTAGCGGTAATTTATTTTAAGCAATTTATTGATATTTTCAAAATTTTTAGCAAGGTTTATTTTTTGCATGATCTTAATGCAGCCCTTTATGTGGTCTTACTGTAAAAATCATATACAAATTTTGAAATATACGAAAAAATAAAAATCATATACAAACTAAGATATTGTGGAAAGAAGAAATATTTTTGTGATTCTATTAAGTTTAAACAGTTTTGTTCAGAAATTTATCATTGAATTATGTAAATTTGATGCTTATTTAAATTCAAAAAATTTGCAGATATTTTCGATGGCGCAGTTTTTACAAATGCTTGTCAAAGTATATCCCGAAGCGGACTACTGTGGTTCTTAATTGGCTGTTTGGCCACCAGGTTTTTTACTTCTGTTTATATTTTGCCGTATCCGGATGTAGCATTTCTTACAAACCATATCGTTTAATTATTAAGAATCGGAATCAGTATAGATTGTAAATTCAGTAACATACATCACGATAAAATCTCGTTATCTTTCAAAGGCACATGATGCCTACAAATTTATTAGCCGAATTATATCTTTTCGGAAACATCCGTGATTATACGTCTTACAATAAAGAATACGGGTCTTTTAAGCATTGAACATTCACCAGAAGTCACAGACGAATTTCCAGTAACACTTTACAATTCATTTCTATTAAGACATAGATTTATTTAATTTGCGCAAAATCTTTTAACTCTCTGGAGAGCTATAAACGAAGTAATGAACGAATTCAAAAAATTTTTTTTCAGTGGTGCTGTGCTGTCTTATTTGGCATGTGCAGTGCTGTTTGCACGGTCCACTTATCGGAGTAGAACATCGTTTTATCCAAATTCATTCTTTCAAATTCATCGAAATTTCGCACCGGGATTTCGAAAAGTTATTACACCAATTGCTGATGTACACCGTAGTCTCCATACAAATATTTCCGAACAGTTTAGTTTATGATGTTTAGTTAAGATGCACTACACGATCACTCCGTGATCAATGTATCATAATTTCGCATTTCCTTTTCACTATGTCGAGGAGATCGGAACTATTGAAATTACCACTTGCTTTAATTTAAGTACTTCGAATTCATTCTGTCACACTGAATTGTTTCCACAAAAGAGGAATAGCTCATAAATATATTCACGCGGGCTTTTCCGCGAATTCGCAAAACTTTCACTTCTTTTCGGAATAAATTTAAATGCTTTTATGAATGGTGATAAGAATTAAAAAGTGGATTTGTTTACTTTTTGTCTAATTTCCTCACCTATCATCATTGTTCTAATCCGTATCTCTTCTCTACTTATTCAGAATCATTCACACTCACGTTAAAATATTTCGAGGCAATATGCTTCATATTTTCTTTTTTTGTCTGTTGGGAAATTCATATCATTATGAAGAATGGCAAATCTTCAAGGTTTATTCAAATAATTTCTCAAAATCATTGAAACGCAGTTGTTTGAAACGTTTAAAATAACATAACAAAATGTATCTTCGTCGATCACATGAGTACTAAATGACGAGTATAAGAGATACCAATCTTATTCGTATCTCTGAGCCGCGAACAAATGAACATTCAGATTTAAAAAAAAAAAGAATTATCTGCAATTTATTGCTAAAGAAACGATTGAATCCTTTATACATTAGGTCTTGATCGAATATTCAACTCTATCGATTGTATATCCGCTGAAGTACTTTTAATGTTTTTAAAAACTTGCATGTTATCAATTTTTCATATGTACTCTTTGCAATTTGTCCTCGTCTTCTGAATATTGGCCTCAGTTTATGGTATTGGTGAATTTAGCATAATGACTGCGCTATTTGTACGGGTATTTTTATATTCTTTATACTTATTATTCATTTATATCAAGATTGAACTTTATTTGTCTTTTCTTTAGTCAATTATTGAAAACAGTAATATTGTTATTTGTTATTCTCAAACATTTGAAAGGAATTTCGTTTTTTGTTTTATCATGAATAAATCATACTATGATTTTGCGTAGCTTTCAATAATTGAACCTTTGAAACCTTTCAAAAAATGGTATTTAATATGTCAATATTTATTTAATGTGAAATGTCAATATTTAATATGAAAAACACTGAATAGGCTAAGTACTGCTTAAATATAACTCTAATGGATATTCTGTTCTATTTGTTCACTATCTGAAAATGATCAATAAAGTGATGTATAAATGATTATTTTTAAGTAAATTTAAAGGCTCAACTTCTCGACAGAATTGAAAGGAATTCTTATGCATCAATCTTCTGTTTTCTAAATTTAGTTTGGTTTTCACTTCTCACAACTATATTCATCACTGAATGCATTTCGTCATCACTGAATTTGAAACTGATAACCGTATTTCATCATTGAATTTGAAACTGATGCTTCCAAAGATTCATCTCATTTATCACTAATTATTAAATCACAAAAGATTCAACTGTTTGATGTTTTTCGAAAAAAGAAACAAAAAAAAGATGAACTACCAGCTTATATAAAGATTTAATCTCAATAAATAAATCAGTATTGCAGACACTTCGTTGAAGTTCATGTATGTACCCCTCCCTACCTCAGTTTCTGAATACCATTTTAACACAATCCTATCGGATCTTCCACATCGGAATTTTTAAGCATCATTAAATTCATTTATAAATATTAAAAAAAATCAAATATAGCCATATTTTATATTAGACTTTTTGATATTATTATTGTAAATTAAATGGAAATATGAGAGGAAAAGAAATTGAATGGCGCAAATATCCCTCAACAATTCCCACAACAATGTGTTGCAATGTTGCCAATCGGTCTTAGCTTTGGAAAAAAGGCAATATGGTATTTGAAAGAAATGATAAATGAAGCTAATCGGCGATTTCTATTCCATACTATCACTGTAAGCTAATCGATTCTTCATCTATCAGATGCATAACACTATTAGTTTTTTTTCCAACATTATATTTTAAAATTTAATTCATTTTCTTATTCTTTAGAATTTGATAAAGTCAGAATTAAGCAGAAATGAATGAAGTAACTTACTTCGTTTGCAATAAATTTGACGAAATTTCGCTATTTGAAGAAGTTGACCTACAATTTGGAGGAATTTCAATCAAAATCATACAGATTTTCAATAAAGTTTTGATTATGTAACAAAGTTCCAGAAAACCTCAGTAGGAGAAAATCTTTAAAATTTTAATATAACTCAAAGAATCAAAATATTAAAATACTTTTCAAACAAAACTGACTTAAATATCTGAAGAATAAACATCTAAAAAAGGGGAAACTGATCCACCGACGAAAGATATGTAATGCAAAATCATCGTGAAGTATTTAGAACAACACATGCAGAAATTTAAATCTTTCATTATCTTTTAAATTCATATTCTTCGTTCAGCAGTATTAAAATTCTATCAACTGACGATCGAGCTTTGCCAAGAATTTTCAAAATTCTATAAATCGCGAATCGAAGTTACGAACTTGAAAAATGGTTCGGAGATCACAGTACAAGGTTTGGAAAGATTGGAAAATTTTATGTAACACTATATGCTTACTCTCCTTCGTATCTCTTCATTGTTTCATTAACATATTTCATTTGCTCCCCAAATTAGTAAAAATTTATATTTTTACAAAAAGAAAATGAATCAAAAATTTGATATTTTAAAACATAAAACTAGTAAGTCTCGAAAGTTTGTATCACTTTTAAATTATAGTATATGTTGTCAAAACTAATCCAGCTCTTCGCGAATTTTAAAAGAAAATGAAATGTACAGTCGCGTTTACTTTCAAATGCATATTTTTTCCTTAGCCGAAATTATAGGACAGTTAAAGATGCTCTCTTCTCCAGATTGAAAAAGAATCTGTTGATAAGAAAATACAATTTCAGCAAATCATTTTCACTGCACGGAGATATTTGCAAAAATATCATTAAAGAAAACAAACTTTGCAACAAATCAAAAACGAAAGGTATAACCTCTTATGGAGAAAACCGGATAAATTTCCAACTTAAAAAAAATTTTGAATTCTATACTATACATGGAACATTTCAAAAAATAACAAAACGAATGTAAAAGTAGCGGGGTTTTCAATCGAGACGGGGAAATTTCTACTTTAACAATGGAATCTACAAAAATAATGGATGGATATAAATACATAACTGAAGAATGTAATATTTTTTCTTTCATGTTCAGTAAAAGTAACAAACATATTTCTATCGCCATTAAACCGGACAAGGTAAATGCAATAAATTATTATAACAAATATTTTAATTTTATCTTCATTTTTTTAAAGCAATACTATCAAGTAATTGAGAACCCGAAACGGAATCAACGATTCTACACATTCATAACTGTTACTTACTCCAATAGTTGTTGTTTACAGCAAAATCATGTTTTTACAAATATTTCATTTGGTAATGGTAACAAATGCAAAAGTGAGCCGAAAATTGATAGCCAGCTGGAAAAATCATGATCAATTAATATTTTCATCAAGAAAATCACAAACTTTTGCAGATGAAGATTCCTCTACTTTTTTAAATCCGAAATGTTATGTGGGAGCTCCATCTTCCACATTGGAAAAAAAACATTTTATGAAGACAGGGGACTTTTAAACATTTAAAAGGATTTAATAAATGTTACGGGTTTTTACTACTTCCATTTAAATTTTTTGACGCAAAGCAACAAATAAAAACAATTTACCTAATAACATAGTTATCGTATCGAACGTTCTTCATCAGATTTGCTGTCTTACAAGGATGAAAATGATAGAAAAGAAGATTGAAAATAGGATGCTCGCGCTGAGATATTGAAGTTAAGCAATCTGCCAATATTGCTTTTTGTTTATCAGCGGGCATCAGTTCCAAAATTTCCTCTACGGTTAATAAAGCACCGGCTGCAAGAAATCATTACATTTTTCTTACACGACTTTACAAACTGAAACGAATGTCTTTGCAGGCTTTTGAAAATATAAATAACAAAAACTTGCTATTTAAATTTGGAAACATGTATTTCAAAAACCACAAGCAATATGCAATATGTGCAAAATCGTTTACTCGTTGCTTTAAGCGTAATTTCAAGAATAATTAGTCATGAAAAGAACTACGAACAGCATTTCCCGTAAGATTAACTAATGATCCACTGTCTATGTGAATTTTCCTTGTTCTGTGTATTAAAATGAGTCTAGAAATATGCACCAAACTAACTCTTAAAAACTGAAAGAGTAAAGCCATCATCATTCAACTTTAAAAGAAAGGCAAATAATACAAAATAAAGAATAAAAAAGAACTTTGTCGACTGAAAATAAACCATAGTATTGGAACTTCGTAGCTTTCACTATAAGTAATATGAAACGTGCGTAAAATTGTTTCGCCATCCAATTCCAACACTGAACTGTTTGATAAAAACTGCTCATTCCTGTACTGAAATTTAATTTTTTCTGACCAAAACTAAAATAATCTTCAATTAATATTTCTTATAGATCACGAAAGCAAAACTATTTTTAATTCATTTCCTTATCTAATAAATATAATCAAATAGTGTTCTGTAAACAAAAAAAAACATTCTGAGAACTTTCCTTCCAACAACTACACTTTCTGTTAAACGACCTAGATAATAATGATAATTCGGTGATAAAAACCACCGTATTAAACTTCGACTAATAATCTTAAAAATTTTACGATAAAACGTGGTACTTACATCATTAAACTGCCACTGGTACCTCAGGTCCAAATCTGCCGTTTTTTCAACAAGTTCTGCAATATCTCGATTGAATATTGCCTTGCTTATTGTTCCCATTATTCTTTCAGTTAACCAATCCCTATAAAACAGTTCGTATAACAACATAAAAACGCCAGCATTCGAACCATACATTTTAATTTCTGCCTGTTTCAAGTCAGAGTTTACCAGAAATTTTGCCAATTACTTTAAAACCAAATTTAGGATGGCCGTATGATACTGTCGAATCGCAAACTTTA